GAAATACGCTTAATAAAGAGACCTTATGAGCTGACGGGTGATTTCTGAATGAATCTATCATTCTGGGAATGTTTAAAGTTTAAAATTTAGATAAAACCCACATTTTTATTTTCATGTATTTTTGAAGGGACTCTATCAGAGTCAATCGGTTGCTGATCCTAACCCTCCAGAACAGAAATTAAAATAGTCCCACCTGCAGCATCTACAGCTCATGAAGTTGCCCATATTAAGCGTCTCTGTCCATTTAAGTTGAATACACTGAAAGAGCTTCTATAATTGCATATAGCCTAGCATCTCCCAAACTTCTTCCCATCAGTAAATTAATCCTCTTAGTAATATACCTACATCAGCTTCTATGTACAGACTAAAAAAGTGGTATTTACAACATTTTTCCACAAGGGGGTGATCCAGGCCTGCCTGAGCTGTGAGCACAAAGGATATGATATGTAGTGATAAAAACCTTGCTTATGCAGCTGGCATTGAATTGAAATTAATGTGATGATAAAAAGGTAGGAGGCTGAACTTTCTCATCTGTGAAATAATAATAATTAAAAAAAATCAGTCTTATTCCCTTTATATGGACAAACTGCAACACGTTTAAAGCCCAGGTGACTGTAGCAGCAGTACTGATGGTGGCATATGGGTTAGCTCCACTACAGCTAATAAGGCTATGCATAATTAATTTGCAGGACAGGTTTAAAGTCATGAAATCAAAAAAACACACACTAATAAGACTAGATGTTCAGGCACAACAAGTGAATACTGAAACTCTGCAGAAACAGCAGATAACGTTGAAATAGGATTAAGAGCTCAAGAAAAGTTATCTTTGTAACCAAATTTGTTTATTTTTTTGCAGCAAATATGTTCTCAAACCAGCATAAAGCCATATATATATCTATATATATATCTATATATAGATATATATATACAACTAATGCCTGTTAATGTAAATAAACATGGTGAGGATCATATGGAAATCTGTTTGGCGCCAACTAGTGGCCAAAGGTTTTACCATATGTTGCAATAATTAGCATAAAATTCCTACATTTAAATCTATTGCTTTAAGATAATCCATCGAAATATTTTACAATCAGTGTAAAAATAAAAAAACAATAATTTTTAAGTAGAAATTAGAAATAAATTCAGGGAGTAAAAAGCCAGCTGGATTAATAAACTATCTTACAATAAATAATAATAGAACTTCACTGATCTTACAATGGAGAAATTAACTCTGTATTTAACCCATCCCTTGGGGGATGAGTGGGCTGCCACTGTGGGGCGCCCGGGGAGCATTGTGGGGTGAAGGGTCTTGCTCAGAGACCCAGAGTGTTATGAGTAGGGATGGGGATCGAAACCCGGTTCCATCAAGGACCCGGTTCCACTTTTTTCCAAACCCGAAAATCAATAACGTCTGGGCTTATCGATACCACTATCGAGTCTGGTCGTTTTTTGGTTTTTTTTCCCGGAGGTCCTGTAACATAATTGTGTGTCCCTCGAGTCGCGTCACAGCATTTAAATCTAATCAATCCAATCACTGCAGCATGTCCACCAATGTTTTGGAATGAAATTGTAAGCAAACAGATATTAAAAGTAAAACAAGTGAAGTCTGGCACTTAACTTTGCTCGCGACTCGAGAATGGCTGAACGGAAAAGACTCCTCCTCCCCCCCGCACCACAGTCGGGCCGTCTTCATCATCCACTCAGAGTACCACTGGTAAGCGCGCACACAGACTTTGTAGCTTGTCCGGTCAGTTAAAAATAGTAATTGTGAAATCCGTCTTGTAATCGGAAGCATACAAGCTAGTTAGCTTGAAAAGTAAATAAAGTTTCAGACGTGCTGCGTGATGATGTGTTCAGATTGGCTCAGTAAAACGACAATTAGGTTATCATGATGCGTTCAAGTGTAACGTAAAGAAAACGGGAAATTTTGTTTATGGCGAGAAACATGAGTAATACAGTTGTATATTGCTCTATATATAATTAAACTACTGATGCCAACATTTATTAAAAGTTACATTTAATTTAAAATACAATTATTTATTTGTTAAATATTTTCCTAATCACTAAAAACATGATGAAAAGTGACAGTAGACAATACATTAACCAACAATTGTGAAAATATATTCTAGTTAGTTTTATGTCATTTCGAGGTTGCCTATTACATTAGCCATGTTTATTGAAGGCTAGAAACGTTTTTGTTAAGCTCACTTGTTAAGCAATAAAAGCAATACCAGTTCTGTTAAAAAATTTTGTTGCATCGTCTTTCCACCAAATAACAGAAAAGTATCGATAGTGGTATCGATAAAGACTCGGATCGATAAGGAGTATCGATAAAGGTATTGATATCAATAAATATTAACTATCCCCATCCCTAGTTATGAGAGCTGGGCTCAAACTCAGAACCTCAGGATTCAAAGCTCAATGCCCTAACCACTAGACCACCACTCCCCTAATATACACTTACCGTATTTTCGCGACTATAAGGCGCACTTAAACGTCTTTTTTTTTTCCCTCAAAATGTGCGGTGCGCCCTATGGTGCGGTGCGCCTTATGTGTGTTGTAACTGCGACTTTTGAGACCACCTCATTGAGGAGATGATGAAAGAGTGGCTGAATGTAAGGAGACCAGGTGTTTGTTTTTTCACTCATCACCATCGCTGTTAATATGTAACTCCATGCGTGCCCATCTCACAGCTGATGTGAAAAACATGGGGAAACAAATTAACGCTGTGCTCGCTGTTCAACCGCTCAACATCGGTGTGAACCGGACCCAGCAGGTGCAGCAGAAGCAGCGAGTTTACATGCAAAGTCAATGGTTGACGCGCGTATAGGCGCAGCAAAAGGTCCCGCAGCGCGTTTTGAGCTGCAGGTGCAGCGCGTCGGGAGCGTTTAAGCATCTGACGCACCGCCAACGCGCTGCTGCTGCTCGAGATGGGAAAATTGAAGTTTTGCTGCTGGACGCGCCGCATCAACCAATCAGAGAAGCTGATCTGGGAGCTGACAGCGAGACAGACACAGCGCTCTGATGACATGATATTAACGCAAATGAAAAAGGCTAGATGGATGAGAAGATGATGAAAGGCAGGTGTATGTGAGGAGACCAGGTGCTTTTTTCCACGCATCACCATCGCTGCGTGCCCATCTCACAGCCGATGTGAAAAAAAGGTGAATCAAATGAAGGCTGTGCTCGCCGTTATCCCGGGGGTCTGACAAAGGAGCTTCAACCGCTCGACATCGGTGTGAAGCGCCCGTTCAAAGTAAGGCTGCGAGCTGCGTGGGAGCGATGGATGACAGACGGAGACCACAGTTTCAGGATAAGTGGAAGGCAGCACCGGGCAGATTACGCCACCGTTTGCGGATGGATTGTAGATGGACTAACGTGTCTGCTGGCTCTGTTGTTCAAGCTTTCGCAAAAGCCGGCATTATTTCTGAGGAGCCGCGCTGCACGGAAAGTGACTCTGACAGCGAAGAATGGGAAATTGGCATGTCTGATTTAGCGCAGCTGTTTAATTCAGAAACAGAGGATGATGACTTTGATGGGTTTGATTAATACTTTGTAATAAATACATGAATAAAGCACAAACATACTCAGTTTTGCTCCCGCTCTATTTTTCTACCTTAAAACTTAATTCAACAGCAGCCTCTGGGCGGGTCTCCTCCTCTTCACCGCGGTGGCTGGCAGGTGTTTTTTCATCTAAATAATCTAAATCTTGCAGCTATATTTGCTGTGATCAGGGGGAATAAAGTAGTTTTAATATGTTTTTAAGTGAGAAAGGCCACCTGAAAACTTAATAATCGCAGTCAGTTCATCCAGATTATCTATTTCTGTCGGAGGCGCTCAGACCCCCACATACCAGCGGTGCACCGACAGTAAATCCCTTCAACAGCAGCCTCACCGCGGCTGCTGGCAGGTGTTTTTCATCTAAATAATTTAAACTGCAGGCACCAGGATACCGGCAATAAAAGCGAACATATTCCGTCGGCAGGTTTCAGGATTTTAAGTTAATTTAGGAGTAATCACAGCGCTGTGTCATCTGCGATGTGTCTGTCTCATGGCCAGCTCGCAGGTTTGATTAATACTTTGTAATAAATACATGAATAAAGCACAGTCATACTCAGTTTTGGGCCCGCTGTATTTTTAAAATACGCAGTAGAGCTATTTAAAGGTAGTAGAGGACATGTACCTGTATATAAAAAATGCGCCCTATAGTCCGGTGCGCCTTATGTGTGTGTTAAATACAGAAATGGGACACATAACTGAGACTGCGCCTTTTAGTACGGTGCGCCTTATGGTCGTGAAAATACGGTAATATGGTTTTTGGACTTTAAAACACCTTTTCAACAGATTAATGCAAGGACTTTGTCCAATACTGTGTCATTTTTTGTGTTTTAAAAGGTTAAACATAAAGTTTTAGGGGGACTAACCCTTACTTTTGTTTGTAAGGAGGCCATATTGGATTTTGAGGCGAAGATTGGATGAGAAAACTCAGACTCTCCTGCTTTAATATCTAATTTCACTAAAATCTTTATGCTGTTTCTTTGGGGTTTTTTTTTTACCAACTGTGCACTGTCACTGAATTATAACTGTATCTGTGGTGGTGACATTATGATGAGAACCACTGCTCTAGAAAACTTGCTTTATCTTTAAAAACATTACATTTAAGGCTTCTACTAATTTCATAAAAGTGACTGTGTAGCTAAAATGTATTTATACTCTCGTACAGACAATAGGATCCTCTAAAAAGGTTTCTTATATAGAGATTTTTTTTTTCTTCCAGAAATGTTTACCTCTTAGCTTCCTTTTGCTGTCGTTCAGTATAATTAGAAATCACAGTGATGCATTGAGCTTCAAAAACTCTCTAAACCTCCCTCTCCTGATTGTAAGCTAACGCCAAACACACACACATGCCATAAAAACCAGAGAATCGCCAGACAAACTTTCCCTGAGGCAACAGCTGGCAGCTGGTTTCTGTCCAACTATCTGAGTTCTGTCTTAGCAGCAATCCAACCAGTCCGACAATTTTATTTTGTTTTCTTTTTTTTTCTGAAAAAATAGCCGTCCACAAAACAGGAAGTTATCTTTGTGTAGGTCAGCCGACAAACTTCACAGGTCCAGAAATTAAGAGAGCACAACCGAGAGCCTAGTTGCAATGAATGTTCAGTCAGAGCCTGTGCACACACCCCCTTGTGGCCCATCCATAATCTTGCACACTGTACAGGTATAGCAAAAATAGCGACTCCTCATAACGCATCTCAGTGCATGTGTGCATATGTTTTTATACGTTGGCATATACACACACATCAGAGGAGGGGTCCTAACATCCTTTTCATTATTAGAATCATTTTTTCAACACTCTCAGAAGTATTTCTTTCTAAATACAGTACGAGCCAAGCTTTAGGTATGTCTAAATCTTGGACTTGTACTACAGCTTATATTTATCATATGTAAAATAAAACATACATTCTTCTTTTGATCATTTTACAAACGTAGCACCCCCCCAGCATCCTCATTTTTTCCAAAGTGCACCTTTCTACCCATCAATCCCAAATTAAAAGACTTTTGCAAAAACATCTGTCCTCATATGATTTGACTTTTCTTTTTTTTTCCTTTTACATATGCAGAATTTACAAGGAGGTGTTAACTCCCACCAGAAACCAGACTGTTCCTATTTCATGTTCGCTGATGCTTGATATATTTGGATGATTTTTGCTGCTAGAAACTGTAAACCAAAAAAAAAAAATTCATGACTATTTACAAAGAGTTTTTCACCCAGAATGAGCAGAAGATGCAACTCCGAGCGCCGTTTCCGGCAATCTGACGATGAAGATGTGGCAGGGAAATAACTTCCTGACGGTGGGAGGGATGGTGATGAAAGACGGTTGGATTCTGTATTCGTGGAAAAGAAGAAAATGAGCGAGGCAGCTTGTTTGTAAAAGCAAATGAGGTTTGAGATTCTGGTGATCCAGCAGCGCGTTTATATTAGTGAACCCAGAGATCCAGTTATGGTTTTGCTCCTCCAGGAAGGTGAGCAGTTGACAGAAGGAGAAGCAGATGAAGGTAGAAGCGATGGTGCGTCTCCTTCCAAAGCGTCCAAGGTGCTTCGGTTTAGTTGAGGAAAAGGCAGCAGAGTTTGGTAATAATCCCACGTTTGATGAGTCTGTGAATAGATTCCTCTTCCTCAGCTATGACACCTCACTGCCGAACACTTCCAGCACCAGCGGGGTAAGCTGCATGCTGTGCTCAGGCTGAAACGAGAGCGAGCGGTACTGCTTGGAGTGCTCCTCGTTCAGACTGCGCAGGTCGGCCAGCTTCTGGATCATCTTGGCGTAGAGGAGGCGTCCGCCTGGGTGGTTGACCCGGATGTAGGCCTGTAAGGCCTCTGACAGACGGTCCTGCAGCTGCTCGATGCGGGCATGGTCCTGAACACCAGGGCGGTCTGTAATGGAGAACCAGAAAGGGGAGGGGGTGGGGAGAGCAGGTGTCAGGGCATGTGGACCACAAATATTAGTAGACAGACCACCTGAATACTGTAGAAAAATATTCAAACTTCTCAGTTTTCTGGAATGAAAACCTCAGACTTTTAGATTTACATGAACCTGATACAAAATGAAGCAGAACATGAATGTAACAAAAAGGAAAATGAGTTTTCTTTATGCTTTACATATAAAAAATTGAATCGCGTGGCATCTTTGTTATTCACCCCTTTACTCTGATACACCTAAATGAAACTGAGTGTCAAAAGCATCAAAAGTTAGTAATGCTGGAATCACATAACCATGGAAGTAAAATCTCTGGTCACACACCAAGAACAAACCATGCTTAGAGTGAAACACGGTAGTGGCAGCATCATGGTGTGGGAAATGGGAATACTTCACTGATCTCTATTTATTCACTGGATTGCTGATAGGCCGTTGGTAGTACACAGTGCCCTGAAGTCACAGCTGCCATATTGGTACTCCCTATCTAGAGCAGTCAGAATGTAAACAATTTGTGCGCTACATAATCGAACAATGATTTTCTCTTTTTCAGGGGGGCTTAAAGGTATAGAGGACAATCTTTTATTTATGGGTGAATCATCTGAATAAATGGTCCTCCTAACTGTCAATCATTCTGGTGATATGTTTACGTAAGGCCGTCATATGTGCTCGCCCCCAGTTAGCTATATTTTTTCTGCGCATGTGCACTTTCAGGCGTGTATCTGGGGTGAGCTACGGTTTCAGACACTTTTTGAAGCTCACCTTTCTCATTTTCTTTGAAAATGGCCGAGGGTCGTAAGAGAAAAAGTGCCTATGAAGTGTATGAGAAGAAAAGAAAGGCCTCAGAAGAGACAGATATATCCCGGAATGCCTTGCGCCGAGAGCTCTCCTCGAAAAGCATTATGGGATTTGCTGTCACAGCGGCGATCGACTAATAACAAAGATGGCGCAGGCACCGCACAGCGAAGGAGGAGTTACGTGACCAACGCGAGCAAAAAGCAGTGATCATCTGTCCGAACGGTAAGTTAACTGAGTTTGCTATAAAGTCCACTATATAGTCCCTGCTGTATGTGGACACAGTACGCTTGTATGAGCTATGAGGACAGCACATTTTAAACAAGAACTCTTGCACGCATATCTTTTTTTTTCAAGTGGAGAGGGTGGGTCTTTTAAAAAATAGGAACGAGTAACTCTAATTTAATGCTTTTTGATACTCTTAGAAATACTTTTAATGCCATCAACAAGTACACATGACTCTCATATATACATACGGTAAAATCCTTCATCATCTTTACCGTTGACAGGCTGCTACCGTGTCCAGATTTCCTGGCCACTTTTAAACACATTAGCTTTTTCTCCGCCTCGAGCTTCTTTTCCGAACATAAGGATTTACGATCAACTGGAAGCAGTTTTGCGCAAATACATTGCGATATATCTGACAAAATTGTTTTAATAAACTTTTTTTTTTTAATAAAGAGTTTTAAACGCCACAATAATCACATTTAATGAAATCTAATGCCAATTAAGGCCTTAACTTAAAATTAATAATTTACTGGCTTTTGATAATTTTAATTGACCCGCGGAAACCCTGTAAATTGGTGATGTACCTGTAATATACATGTATTGATTACATTTTTATGGTAATCAAATTACATTACAGGCATCGTTATGGCGCAACTCCGTGAAAGTGGGGAGTACCAAGATGGCCACAGGTGACTTCAGCTTTTTTCGGTCTATCAGCGATCCAGTGAATAAATAGAGATCAGTGGTGTACTTCTCTTCTGCCCAAAGTCCAGACCTGAGTTAAACTAGAAATGTGTTGAGACTGAAGCACCGATTGTCACTGAATTATCCTGATTTGTTTTTGCAAAGAAAAATGGTGTCAACATTGGACAAAGCGTGTCTAGATTTTAGAAGAGAGGAAACCCATCCCAAACTAAACTCACAGCTGCACTTGTAGCGAAAAGTGCGTCAACAGAGTTTATTCAGGAGCTCCAAATAAAAATGGATGCCAGTTTTTCTAGATTTGGAGTTAATTGCTTTCACTAGCAAGACGTTATAGTTACACTTTAATCTATCACAGTGTAAGCATGGAGTACAGCTGCTTCTTGTTCCTTTAAATACTCCTCCAGGCTCAATGAAAGGTTTTATAGGTTTAATATCTGTTCCTGAAGCTTCCTCAGGGATGAAACAACCAATGTCTTCATTTACTGGCATATCAATTATAATATCAACAGATGCAGTAGTTAGGAAATTATTTTTCACTGTTACTGGCAGCTTCAGCTACTCGTCACGTTCAGGCTGAATCTAGGTTAAACAGAAAAGCTGACACCAACACAAACCCCGAAGCACACTCTGAGGACATGCTGGCTTTCAGTAACCCATTAACAACCACAGTTTACACTGGTTCCAAAAGAGATGAAAGAAAGATCACATCTTAAAGAGCAGCGGTACCTGGGGACAGCAGGCAGATGGCCATGAGCAGCACGTGCTCCTCCTCGTGCAGGTTGAGTTTCTTCAGGCCCACTTGGAACTTCACCAGCGGCTCCAACAGCTCCAGGGTGTGACCAGCTGTGGGGGATCCGCAAATCAACCCGTTATCCCAGCACATTCAGTTACCTTTCCTTACATTTGAGCATAAAATCACAGCATGGCCGTCGTTCTACATCAGAGGCCTTCAATCAAGAATCATGCATAACATCATCCTCTGCATGTAATCGGGGGAAATTTACTGTTTAAAATATAATATTATCAGGACCTCAGTTAAGTCCGACAGAAAGGCAGTATTTGAGTGGGCTGTGGATTAAGGCTGATCGATTTTCAAAAAACCTAAATTTTACTTATTTTCAACCAATATTACACTCACCGGCCACTTTATTAGGTACACCTGTCCAACTGCTCGTTAGCACTTAATTTCTAAGCAGCAAATCACATGGCGGCAACTCAGTGCATTTAGGCATGTAGACATGGTCAAGACAATCTCCTGCAGTTCAAACCGAGCATCAGTATGGGGAAGAAAGGTGATTTGAGTGACTTTTAACGTGGCATGATTGTTGATGCCAGAAGGGCTGGTCTGAGTATTTCAGAAACTGCTGATCTACTGGGATTTTCACGCACAACCATCTCTAGGGTTTACAGAGAATGGTCCGAAAAAGAAAAAACATCCAGTGAGCGGCAGTTCTGTGGGCGGAAATGCCTTGTTGATGCCAGAGGTCAGAGGAGAATGGCCAGACTGGTTGGAGCTGATAGAAGGGCAACAATGACTCAAATAACCACCCGTTACAACCAAGGTGGGCAGAAGAGCATCTCTGAACGCACAGTACGTCGAACTTTGAGGCAGATGGGCTACAGCAGCAGAAGACCACACCGGGTGCAACTCCTTTCAGCTAGAACAGGAAACTGAGGCTACAATTTGCACAAGCTCATCGAAATTGGACAATAGAAGATTGGAAAAACGTTGCCTGGTCTGATGAGTCTCGATTTCTGCTGTGACATTCGGATGGTAGGGTCAGAATTTGGCGTCTGCAACATAAAAGCATGGATCCATCCTGCCTTGTATCAACGGTTCAGGCTGGTGGTGGTGGTGTCATGGTGTGGGGAATATTTTCTTGGCACTCTTTGGGCCCCTTGGTACCAATTGAGCATCATTACAACGCCACAGCCTACCTGAGTATTGTTGCTGACCATGTCCATCCCTTTATGACCACAATGTACCCAACTTCTGATGGCTACTTTCAGCAGGATAATGCGCCATGTCATAAAGCTGGAATCATCTCAGACTGGTTTCTTGAACATGACAATGAGTTCACTGGACTCAAATGGCCTCCACAGTCACCAGATCTCAATCCAATAGAGCATCTTTGGGATGTGGTGGAACGGGAGATTTGCATCATGGATGTGCAGCCGACAAATCTGCAGCAACTGTGTGATGCCATCATGTCAATATGGACCAAACTCCCTGAGGAATGCTTCCAGCACCTTGTTGAATCTATGCCACCAAGAATTGATCCAACCCGTTACTAGCATGGGGTACCTAATAAAGTGGCCGGTGAGTGTATGTTTGAGATTTATTGCCATTTTCCTTTGCACTAAGCACAAGAATTTTTTACTACAAGGATTCTGGTTTTTCATTACATTAAAAGCTTCTCCAGAATCCAGAGCTGCAGGACTTTGCTGTAACCTTTGCATGAAAAACTTCTTAAGCCAGCGTGCGATTTTCCAGTCATGCGAGAATCTTTCGATCGGGCCGACTTTCAACCTGATTGTTAGTTGTGAGTCGTGTAGTGTACAGGGGGTTACAAGGGGCAATAAGCCTCTCACGACCACCTCCCGATCAGGAACCGTGAGGTAAGGAGAAAATCAAACGTTTGGGCAAATCGCTCAGTGCTCAGAAGAAACAAGGATTCTTCTGTAAACACAGCAGCATGGCAGGAATGCAATGAGTGAAACACAGTTCTGTCTGTAAAATTGACAGACCGTAGTAGCCACGTTTGCTCAGCCATGTCTTTTTTTTCCAAATACGTCGTCGCCTTTTCTTTTTACGGCTTCCAGCACAAATTTGCAAATTGCAAATTGCCATGGCAGCGCATCTCACTATAGTGAGATTCATCTTCCCCTTCTATTTGTTTGGCTTCAGGATAGACGAGTCAGAGCAGCTCCATCTCACTGCGGGGCTGAGTCACACATGGTTTTTATTCGTGCAGTGTGAGCAGGTAGATTGCATGAGAGCGTTGTGCTGCACATACATCATGAGCTGTGAGCTCACACTGTATGATGAAATGACGGTTTCGTTGTACAGTGTGAGCTGCAGCTGTGTGCAACGATTGAAAAAAAAAAAAAAATTGCACAGGCTTTACTATTACAATGCATAGATCTAGGTGCTAGATACGTTAATCGTATTACCGCCACCTAAAGGCTGGAGGGAGAAATTTAGTGTCTTAATCCTGTTACAGTAGCAGCCATTGAAATTGGCCCTTCCCAGTCAAGCGCCAGCCAAATTGCAGCCCACTTCCCTCCAGCTTCCAGCCACTGCAGTGACCCCCTCTTGAATATTTTAATCCACACTTTTACTGGATTACAGGGTCTGACCAGGAGATCATGCTACTCTTTAGATCTTAATGTCCACAAATCATGGAAGAAAGAATATTTTTTTTTTTACAATTATTAATGTTTAAAAAGGAATTGTAGGGGATCAGCCAAGGGCCCATCAAGGAAAGTGGGGACATTTTGAATGGCTACTACTGTAAATGTATTATGACTAAAATTGACTAAAAGCGCCTCTGCGGTTTGAAAATTGGAGGATGGGAGGATTGAGAGGATGGTAGATTTAATTGAACCTGTCACATTACCTCTAACGATGAACACTAATTTAAATTTGCTCTTCTGTTCACAGCTTAAATAACCAATTTCTTGAGACAGGTAGCTTCACTCACTGAAATGCTCCTAAGGAGACAACCGCTTAAGACATGGAGAATTAATGGAGAATATCAAAGAAAAAACATGGATACATTTTAAATAAATAAATAGAATAAATTCTATTAATTTAGAAAAGCACCTTTTGTAACATCGTTGATGCAGTATTTGAAGTCGGGTCCCCCGCAGCTCCAGGACATGTCCTCCAGGCTGAAGGACTGGTTGGAGCGCAGCATGATGATCTCAATGGCACTCGACTTTAGCAGAGCGATCTGGTCCTCTGCGGTCAGGTCTCTGCAGAGCAAACAACAGGTGCAAAAGGGGCAATTGTTATCCTAAGGTCAACTGTGCAGAGCTGGGAATGCTTTTTGATCTAAAGCAGATTGTTCTCATGTCTCTACACTTAGAACAGAGACAGATATGGTAAACATCAGTAGCTATGATATTTTTTCGGTGTAAAAACGTGTGAAACAGCTGACAGATTTGATTACATTTTCAGCAGCTTTAAAGATTCTAAATGTCTTTTAACAATGCAGTAACATAACGGCAGTGATGATATATTTAGACGTATTAGAATAAAGAAAAAAAAGAAACAAACCAGCAAATAAGGAAAGACGATAAATAAATAGTTTTCAACATTAAGTAGGCAGAAAGTGGCAGAAAGTGTCTTAATGTTCTCACAATGTTCCGATTCCAGGCACACTCATCGCATTATTCTGGCCCACAGTTAAGATCCATTAAAGAGATAACAGCACAGAAAGTTCTACTTAACAGCCTACCCTAACAAACCAGGGCAAGCATGAGTGTGTTTCTGTGTCCTAAAGAGAGAGGTACAACATGTACATGACTGTGTCACATGTTTACTGATCGTACAGATCTTCAATTTCTTTATCTTTGTATGAACAAAGAAGCTGCTGCTTGGAAATGACTTTGCTGCTCCTAAAGATAGTGTGTTTGTTCCACTGACGCATGCAGCCAGCGATTAAAGTCTGAGAATAATTTTGATCCTTAAATCTAACACAGAAATAACTTGGAATCTTCAAAGACGTCCATAAATAATGAAACTAAACAATTTTTTAAATGTAGGGAGAGCCAGATATGCTGGAACCTCAGGTTAAGATGAGTAAAAAACATAAAAATCTCTTTCTAAAAATCAAGTACATGTGATAATATTATTTGTGCTCCTAATAATCCCTTTTGAACTAAACGTCAGGATTTCAAATGACTGCTTTACCTTTTCAGCTAAGAGGTGGTTTCAGAAGGATTAAAAAGTAAACCAACACTTTGTCTCCCTGGAACATGAGTACAACCCGACACAGAAGCTTATTTCTGCCATTCACTGACCTCCAGGCTGGATGAGACACTATTTCGATCTAATAATAAACACAATAAGCAGCAGGTTAAGTTAAAATCATACTAAACGAGGCATCTTTGGATCCCCTGGTCTCCATAACAACAGTTAGACCCAATCTCTCTGTTAAGACTGATGTCTGGAAGGAGTTTCCTTCCTACCATCACAAACGTAAACATGTACATTTTGTACCTGCTTCAGTAGGTGGCTACGGTGACCCAGAGGTGTCAACACTAATACAAAAGCTGCAACACAAATAGAAAAGCCGCAACGGAAATAAAATTTGTGTAGCGGGTTTTGTATTTGTGTTGCAGCTTTTGTATTTGTGTTGCGGCTTTTGTATTTGTGTTGCAGCTTTTGTACTTGTGTTGCGGCTTTTGTATTTGTGTTGCAGCTTTTGTATTTGTGTTGCGGCGTTTGTATTTGTGTTGCAGCTTTTGTATTTGTGTTGCGGCGTTTGTATTTGTGTTGCGGCTTTTGTATTTGTGTTGCGGCTTTTTTATTTGTGTTGCAGCTTTTGTATTTGTGTTGCGGCTTTTTTATTTGTGTTGCAGCTTTTGTATTTGTGTTGCGGCTTTTGTATTTGTGTTACAGCTTTTGTATTTGTGTTGCGGCGTTTGTATTTGTGTTGCCGCTTTTGTATTTGTGTTGCGGCTTTTGTATTTGTGTTGCGGCTTTTGTATTTGTGTTGCAGCTTTTGTATTTGTGTTGCAGCCTTTATATTTGTGTTGCTGCTTTTTTATTTGTGTTGCAGCTTTTGTATTTGTGTTGCAGCTTTTGTATTTGTGTTGCAGCCTTTATATTTGTGTTGCGGCTTTTTTATTTGTGTTGCAGCTTTTGTATTTGTGTTGCGGCTTTTGTATTTGTGTTGCAGCTTTTGTATTTGTGTTGCGGCGTTTGTATTTGTGTTGCGGCTTTTGTATTTGTGTTGCGGCTTTTGTATTTGTGTTGTGGCTTTTGTGTTTGTGTTGCAGCTTTTGTATTTGTGTTGACACCTCTGGGCCACCGTAGGTGGCGCTGCAAGGAATTAACATTTATATAGTAAAAAACCCTGGACTAAATCCCTATTCTCTTAAGATTTCAAATTTAACCCTAATTTAGCACCTAAAATTTCTATAACTGTTCTCTCTTCCTGCCATGAGCTCACTTCCAGAGAATAAAGCTGATTAATGTTTCTAAATTGATGAGCAGCAGCCCTCTAATCTCTGTGGATCTAGTGTTTATCTATCTATATTTTTATCTCTCAGCTCAGCTTTTAGCCGCAGCGCGTTTGAGCGAATTCTTGGAAGAGCTTGTTTGTTTTCACCTCTTCCATTAATGCTCTGCATACGTGTGGGCAGCCGATCATTGTGTTCTCTGTGTAGGTGGGAACCTCATTCAGGGTGCCGCGTGTGCGTGCTGATGCTTTGATGTGGCAGATTTTACAAGAAAATAAATCGGAACTTTAAATCAATGAGAAAACACAACACAGCAGGAAGGAACACAGTTACTTCGTCATCTAGGTGGTTTCTGAGCTGCAGCTGTTCTTAGATGTATTTAAGTCATGTTCACCATCCAAGCTGCCATGGTTAACTGCCAGATGATTAACTTTGAGGTCAACTGATCAACCATGTGATTTTCAACTACAGATAATGAAAAACATTCATTTGATGCAAAACAAAATCTGGCAGAGTTTAAATTTTTGCATACTTGTCTGAAATAATTACTAAAACTATTTACATTATTCAAAATTGTGTATTTTTAATACTCCTGAACTAAAATGTAAATTTGAAGGTGCTAAAATATAAATTGTTGACCAAGGTAGCAACATTTCCAGCCATTTTTTTAACCATACCTGAAACCTGGAATCATCTTGGCAAACCCGATGACTTTCTGGATGCTGTAGGAGACCAGGTCAGCCAGGTGGGGCAGCATGGAGAGCTTTGTGTCCTCCTCACTGGAGTCTGGACTACTCACTCCATCCTGGTACATCATCAGCAGGTTACTGAAGTTCATCTTGGTGTCCACAGACTCTGTTTAAGCAGATTGAGAAGGATTTGAAGTAAGAAAATGCAGCAAAAATATTCAAAATTAAATAAGAGGTTGAAAATAAGCTTTGAAGATGCTATTTTATTAGAATCACACATTTTCTTCTGGATCTGCTCTAAACTGAAATAAGCAAATTAGACAATAATAATAATACGTTCACTTCTAAAGCAGCAGAAGCAGCTAGTAGACATGCAACTGGATGACGCGCAACAAGCAAAAAGTCCTGCAGCGTGTTTTGAGCAGCAGGAGCAGCGCCTCTCGAGCTTCTGAGCATCTGATGCGAACGGAATTTGTACAAGCATCAAAAATGAAGCAGCACGTGCATTTTTGCTGCTCCTGCCGCTTGCTGTTTGAACATAGCATTAGATTTGATTTTGTTTATTTTCTTTAAACCAGTTAAAACTTAAAACCTCACTTTTGAATATAGTCCTTAGAAAGTATAACTATTAAAGTAACAGACCTTTGGATCTCTGCTAACTAACACAGAAACACAGAAAAAACCCACAAACCAATTCATGTCAACAAAAATACATAAATAAAATATAAGGTACATCTTTTTTATTCCTGACACCGTACTGTGAACTAACTTAGCTAACTAAATCACTATAAGTGAAGTAAGGGAGTTTTTCCTCTCCACTGTCGCTACAAGTATGCTTAGTGTGAGGGATTGCCCTTGACTCAATGAGTCGATGCAATCAACTGGTTTTCTCTTAGATAATAAACTTTGAATCAATTTGACTGGAGGATGTGGTTGAACTGTTAAGTGCCTTGAGATGACTTGAGTTGTGAATTGGCGCTTTATAAATACACTGAATTAAATTAAATTGAATAAGCTCATGGAAAAGCAAAAAACAGAAAAAGAAAGCAAACAATTAACACGGATAATAAATATACAAATAAAGCCCAAAGTGATAAATTCTAAAAGATTGGTTTAATTTTCCAATTATAACTCCAAGAATTACGGAAGCCGAGGGCGCCGTGTCCCTTTGGTACCTTTTCACTCGGATTTTCTCGAGCAAACGAGTTCTTTTTCCTATTATCTAAAGATAGCAAAAGTTTTCCCGTGATAACGGTATGATTGGTGTGAGTTAAAACCGACTAAATACTGCAATAGCGGGAGATGATTTAGAAGTCATGGCAGCCTATGTGTCATTCTGTAAATAATCCCAATTTTTAACTTTTAGGTAACAAGATGACGTTGTTGGTTTGATTATTATTTTTCCACTTTCCATTCCGATTCATAAGCAATTAGAGCTATGCCTCCGATGACTTAGCTCCTGGTGTTTTCTGAACAGCCCCGGTGTTACGCCTGTAACAGGTATATAATGCATTAACCCCCAAAATGAGTCCAGATTCAAGCTTTTAATAACAAAACAGATTTGTTTCTGTATCCAATGCTATCCCATCATCCACCGCGACCTGACAATGAGTAAAAAGGAATCTAAAAAACTGATTATTTGCACACAAGCGTTACCGCAACTGCAGAACTATGGGCACCGCAGGCATGGATGGACTGGGAATCCAGGGCTCTTGGCCAGCCTCATTCATTACTCATACAGGTTAATCATCCCGTTATCTCGAGAAATAAATAACTGTATTCTCGTGATAACAAGATAGTTATGTCATTATCTCAAGAAGGCAAAGGAAAAAAAAATTTGAGTACGACTGCTTTAAAGAATTGATCTTGCAGGTTAAACTCTAGCTGGGACACTGACAGCAGCGTTGAATGAAATAGTTGATAGACGAGAAGAAGCATGAAAGAAAAGAAAGAGTTATTATTTATCTCACCAGGTGAGTGATTGAATGAATCAGAGGAGGCATCAGACAGTGAGTGAAGGGAGGCAGCTCTGCTGGCACTGCGTGTTACCGGGCCGTCACGCACTGGAGGCTGAAAAAAGGCAGAGAAACGGACATGAATATGTTAAAAGCTGCTTCTCCTGTGTCTCAGGCTGACCCAGGAGTTACAAAACAGTACACATAAAATAACATGCCTGCAGACATTAAGTAGGTTACCGTAAACTGGCTTTTATTTAAGGAGTTTGTCAAACTGTCAAGCGATAAACACACATATCATCCGGTAGGTTTTGTGAAAAACAGGCAATATTGTTTGGAAGGTAAAAAGCATGTCATTCGTCAATGGATGATGCGGAAAAAAACGGAGAATGATTTACTGAGGGCACAAACAGCTGAGTGCAAACAGGCAAACAAACTAAAGACTTGAATATTTGCGGCAGTGAGAGGAGAAAATTCCTCCAGCCTCCACTTGAACCGCCAGGAGCTCCGAGGCTTTTATGTAGTCCTGGTATCCAGATCTGTGTCGGCCTATTCCTTTGTTTATCTACGAATTAATTTTAGGTCTTCTTATGTAAACATATCTGGCTGTTGTTACCGGGGCATTTGTTTTATTTATCTCGAACAAGTACTAAGATCCTTTTTAATTCCCTCTTGAGTTTCCGAACATAATTGAAATCTGCTGCTAAGTTGATGTTTTCTTTGTATGGATTTGTCCGCTTGTGGTTTTCTCCTAGTTAAGTGCAACACCTACAGCTCGATAATGGGAGATCTCACTCGTCGGCTGCTCGGTAACAGCGTGCCCGTGGCTGCCTGCATAGCGTGCAGTGCTGCAATCATACTTGACGCTAATAAATCACGGAGTCTGTGAGACTTTCTCAGACATTCCAGTTATTCTTGACTCTCCTCCTCATTAGCTCTGGTCAGTCCTGTTGTTGTGGGCCACTAGAAGAATCCCGTCTGATCTAGTTCAGAAAACATTAATAAATTCTTTGTAATGTGAGTTACTGATGTCAACTAAACTGGAAACACGAGTAAAAGGATGACAGCAGGAGCCACAGTTGTATAGAGCGCTTTGTGAGGACACTTTGAAATCTTTGCTTGTTAACAAAACAAACATTCCCACAAACATTGGCATACCTACAATGGAAGGAAAGACAAGGATAAACTAGAAAATTGTGGTCTGTATTTGTTCCTTAACTCAAATTTAAACCCTTGTCTTCATAATTTACCATATTAGCAAAACAAGTCAGTCAGTGTGTCATTTCATCTCAGTATAAAAGCAGCAGGAATGCAGAAATAAGACCAAGGATGGGTTATAAATCAATATCCCAAGGTCTGCTTCATGAAGAGCCGTTTAATTCATCGTCTTAAAATAAAACAGGAGGCTGCAACTGCAAACCTTAGCAGAGCACCAGTGTGGAGCTGCACCGACAGTCATGGTAAGCTGAGCTTATAGAGACGCCGCCAAAAGGCCCCTGATGGTGCAGGAGGTGCTGCAGGCTGCAAAGCGGCTGAAAGAAGCATTGCTTTTAAAAGAAGCAGGTACACAGGACGATAAGTCCAACGATAAAGCTAAGTGCAAAACGCTTTGAGTGGTTTTTAATCAACACTGTATATAACCATTAACTCCATCCATGTTGGTGGCAGCATCATGCTGGTGGGATTTATTTTCGAAGGGAAGTCCTGAAAGCAAAACTATACTAAAGAAAAGGCAGGGATTCCCCCTTTCACAAGATAAAACCTGAAACATCAAACTACAGCTAAGAACTGAAATAGTTTAATAAAAATATATCTTTATTAAAATAAAAAAGCCAAATATCCATCCTGACATGTTGTGGCACATTTTAAAACCATCTAAGTGACTAAATTAAGCTATTTATGAAGGTGAATATATTAATATTTCTGATTCTGATTCTAAAGTAATAAAATAGAAGTAAAACAAAAAGCAGAATAAAAGCAAGAAAACATAAATTCTACCTCAAAACAGAAAGCAGCTCTAATAGCCGAAAAACATCCTTATGAAAAAATTCAAACACAAGGGGGCTAACTAGAAATGCACAAAACACTTCAGGGTTTCTTAATTATATAAAACTGCTTCTGGGTCCATCATATATAACTCCAAAAAATAAAACAAAGATTAAAGCAGGAGGAAATGTGAAAAGCGTGTTTTTACCTATGCTAATGTGAGAGATGCTTGACATTTTAAAGTGGACTGACCCTGAAGCGTGAGAAGTCAGAATAGGAGGCATCGTAGGTCTTATGGTGAGCTTCCACCAAGCTGGAGATCATCCGGGCCTGCTCCTCGTTCAGCCGGGGCCTCTGCGCCTCCCGGGCTGCCTCTTCTTCTTTTCTCTTCATTATCATTTCCCTTTTCCTCTGAACCTCCTCATCCGTCAGTATGACTGCAGGTAGAGAGATTTCAATATGTCAAAACAGGTAAGGTCATTTTCATTTGATTTACAACATATTATTTAAGGTAGGTACATGTTACTAAAATACAATTTACACAATAACATAGTGTCATCAGCGATCATCTTTATTTAGGTCAAATAAAGACATCCAATTAAGTTCGTTGCATCTGACCTCCTTCAGAAGCTCCTCGTGTTTAAACTGATTTCTTTCTTGTGAAGTTCTATTGCTGAAAGTTATCTATCAGGGTTTCTCTGTAATCTTTCTTCTCACTTAGAGTAAATGGCAGTGTAATAGTTTGTGATTGAGCTTAATAAACCCTGCTCCTGTAGTGACACCCAAAACACGCTAAAACCAGACACTGTGGATGTAGGACAGGTCCCAGAAAACAAAGAGAAGGAGGATAAAATTATCACTTCTTGAGGTTTACTTTCGAATGGGTATCAGCAGTCTCTGAATAATACAAAAAAACAATAAGAAAACTAAATACCACAACAAGTGGTTCACCACATTATTGCTTAAAGTAGCTCTACCACTTTACCCACTGCAGAGGCAGATATTTTACATAACGAAGGCCAGAGAGTCATTGCGGAGCACATCAGCAGCAGGATATGGAACTTTACTGCTCATCAGGCAGCTGAACTTTTGAAAAAACATGTTTCTTCTTCTAAACTGTTTACATTTGATCACGGATGCACTTTAAGAAAAGGAAATGTCACGAGAGCTGTACAAAACAAAATTAAGTTTTGTATACACTTTGTATATACAAAATGACAAGAAAAGTTGTTTAAGTCTAAGTTATATTATGGCCTTTGTTTGTACATCTCCACTTAAAGGTATTGAGGAATATCTTTTATTTCTAGGTGGATCATCTAAATAAGTTGACTTCCTAATTGTTAATCATTCTGGTGATATGTCTATGCAAGGCCGTCCTGAGTGCTCGTCCAGTTAGCTATCTTTTTCTGCGCATGCACACTTTCAGGCGTTTATCTGTGGTGAGCTTCTGTTTCAGACAGTCATTGAAGTTCACATTTCTCACCGTGGTTCTTTAAAAATGGCAGAGGGTTGTAAGATAAAAAATGTCTACGAAGTGTATGAGAAGAAAAGAAAGCCCTCAGAAGAGGCAGATATATCCCAGAATGCTTTGTGCGGAGAGCTCTCCTAACAAAGCATTATGGAATTAACTGTCACAGCGGCCCACTATTGCGATTAATAACAAAGATGGCGCAGGCACCGCACCGTGGAGGTGGAGTTATGTGACCAACGGGAAGCAAAAAGCAGTGATCATCTTTCCGAACAGGAAGTTAACTTAGTTTGCTATAAAGTCTACTATATAGTCCCTGCTCTATATAGTGATTGAGGGATTTAGGGATTAGTCTGCTTCGATGGACTGGCGACCTGTCCAGAGTGTACCCCGCCTCTCGCATGTAGACAGCTGGAGATAGGCAAAAGCACCCCACTTGGGATAAGCAAGACAGAAAATGGATGGATGGATGGATGGATGGATGGATGGATGGATGGATGGATGGATGGATGGATGGATTAGGGCGGACATGTAGGACAGTAAGCTTGTTTGAGCTATGAGAACAGACGCTTTTAAACAGAGTGTGAGTGAGGAGAAATGGGCTTGTGCATGCGTAATAGGCATGCGGGAGCAGGTACAGGGTTGTACGTGTGCATTTTTTTTTTTTATGAGATGACGGTGTGTCTTTTTAAAAAAATTAGCATAAACACCTTTAAGTTCTGCAGGAAGTCTCCAAACATTCAGTGAACAGTGAGTCAGGTCATGATGCTGTTTGATTTTTTTAGCTTTTAACATGATGCAGCCTGGACTGCAATATGAGGAGAATGAGGAAATCACTGGTAAATGCATCCATGAGCATCAAATGACTCATTACAACTCTGCATTACAACTATCCCCTTCCTGTCATCTGCAGAAAGACTCAGATGAGTCTGCAGTGTTGACACGATATTTGGTACTGATAAGTGGTGTTGGGTACAACAGGAACAAACATCTCATCTTTAATTCATAGTTCCCATGTAACGTCACATATCTGTCGCTACTGACCATATTAGTAAGCAATGTGAAACATTTTATAGGAGATCACTTTAGTACGGTGTGAGAAACAGAAACCATTGCTTTGCACTGAGTCAGATCTGCTGCAGAAGAAGTGGCCAGAATGAAAAAAGCTGCTTATTTTTAAAAGCCAATAAACTTTTAGAAAATGTTTCTTTTGACAGTTTTACTTCAATATATATGAATTCTAATTGATATGAAATGGAATTTGTGAAAAAATTGAGAAAATATATGTGATGTATACAGGGTTTAAACACTAAACAAAGCAATTAAGCTGGTCGAATTAAGGGGAAATAAAATAATATAATACAATTTTTTTATATTCATAGTAATATATTAGTGGAGTTTTTCAAGGTATCACAGAATCTGACTTCCAGAACATTTAGTAAGTAAACCAATATGTTTTAAGCTAGTTGTGCAATGCTAGTTACTTTTCAACACTAGTGTTTATGTCTTACCTGCTCTATTATGAATAAATATCAATATGAAGCGAGCCATGTGCACTGGCTCTTGGCGATAGCTAAGCCAATAAGATGTGTAGATGTTTTAGTAAACTCAGAAGAGTAGTGGGAGGTTGGGTGGGTAAATAATCTTTGGTGCTGAAGACATGCTAAGAATCTCTAACAAAGAAAAACCTGGTTTATGCTCAGAAACCGGGTCGTCTGACTGTGTGTCGCAGATATGCCTCCTCCCAAAGACACCCTGGTGCACCTCCCGAAAATAGAGTGGCAGAGAGGAGAGAAAGGAGGCCTCTGATTAGTCACTCCTACTTCCGCTCTACACTATGTGTATTTCCTGTTTGGGACCTTGCCAGCGTGTTTTGTTTGTATGACCGCCATTGTGGAAAACATGGACCAGCTAGAAGAGCATGTCGGCGAAGAAGGGAGGAAGTACCCACATCTGTACGACTCGTTCTCTAAATCACAAGGACAGCACATATACGAGCAATCCAGTTGCCCTTTTTGTTTAATGACCTCCGTTAACAGAAGAGAAACACGCCACCCATCACACCCACAATCCTAGCTAATTCGCAATTGTCCCTCTAACCCAATGTACTGCTGTTCTGAACCTGTTCTGGTCCAGAACAGGTTCCTAGACACCCAGTCTACTGCCAGACCATGGGCATTAGGAAGGTCAGCAGACACCACTGTTTCCACTCCTGTTCCGTTAATAAAAGCTCTTTTGATGGTCTGCGTGCGCACATCTGACCAGTAGATGAGGAACTCCACGGCATCATAATCCACCACGGTCAAATTATCTATGTCCGGCATGGTAAAGGAGATGATGTAGTTGTAGTAAGGGTTCCACGTGGCGTGGAATAAAATAGCACAGACCACGCTTCGAAATTGGGCATATATCAAAAATATCTGCGTCATACCTGCAACAAGCTCACTGAGACACACTACTGCGGGAGTATAACCAGCCCTTTAGACTTAACTTTTTTCTAAGTTTAAGTCTAAATTTTTAGACAAACAATATCAACTACAAATTTGGATTAGTGATATATTACTGTGTCTAGGTGTCCTAAAGCACAAAACATGAAGATACTTTGTCAAAATACTGAGGTTAGTCCATTGGAACCCCATATAGGAAGTCTGATGGTCACTGCCATGACTGTTACAGCATTCACTGCCCCTGCATGCCAAAACCTTTATTAATCGCTTGACTTTTTGCCATAGTAAACAATTAGCTATGACTTTCTGAACTATGGAGAAAGGCAGACTGACCAACAGCATGACACCCAGACAGATTAAAGCTGCCAAGAAGACAAGCTGTTATGGCAGAGCCCCAAAATGATGGGGTCACCACATGCTAAAAAGGACTGGCAAATCTGCAAATTTGGCAGAAAAGGATGCAGAGAAAAAATAGCCAACCTTTAAAATCTCCATACAGTTATTTTATTTAATTAGGCATTTTAAGATTACAAAACGCTTTGTTTTCTGGTAATCAGCTAATTTACAACGCCTCTTTAATCTCTTAGGGTGTGCTTAAGGGTGTAAGAAAATAAACTTCTTGTTTACCCATCAATAAAGGTGGGGCAGACTCAAGATACAGCTGTAAATTATTGCTCTATTGGGTTCAGTGTCTGGTCTGTCAAACATTTAAACACAGGGAAAGGTCAGGACTTACATCACCAGCCAAGTGACAGACAACATTCTCTGCTTTTAGAAACACAAAAGCCAAGCCTTGTCTTTAGCTTTAGAACCTTCAGTTATTTCACATTTCCTTGGTTCAAAATATATTTTTTAATTCTCAGTTTTCCTCTAGCTTGTTTCTACAATGTAGAACAGTAACAGAAATAAAGAATAGCATCCAAATTATTACAGGTAATGTGAAGCCGTCTTAGACACACAACATCAACAACTACAGGCCCAAACAAAGCAAGCAAAGGACTCTGCTAAACAGGATTATCGGGGCTTTTATTTCTATTAAGACCCCTGTCATTAATTAGGCTTTGGGTGCACTCCAGTGCCCATCTTTTCCTAAGCCAGAAACGGCCAGCCAAGACCCACTCCTTGTGGTAAGGGTATTCAAGTAGGCCGAGTTTGGTGAAAGTTTGGCTCAGGGGATCAAAGCTGCTATTCTCAGCCTGAAGCTTGATTGGACAACTTCTTCTCTTGCCAAGGTGGAGAGCTGGAGGCATCTTTAAAGAAAGAGTCCACAAAAGAACGTTCAAAGGAACATCTTGACCACCAACAGTGTTTTGGCAATTATTATTCAGGAGTTTACCAAAAGACAGTATTTTGGTTTTTTAAAAAGTACTGACTAGATGTGGTGCTTGGCATGGCACAAAAGAGAGGCAAAGGAAAGGAAAGAAAAGACATAAATGAGAGCAAGCAGAGAGATGCGGATTTAGTCAAGAAATAACTAAATCAGGTTTTCCGCAATCCCACTAAAGCAAGAGATGTTGGTGAA